TTGTAAAGAGTGTGGGGCCCTTAATTTTGTCGTCATTTGGATCGGATAAAGTTGTCGAAAGGGCTCTCCACTTTAGTGGCCCGAAATCTGACTCCAACTTGATCCTATGAATGATTGCTGTCGAAATATAAACATTGCCTATCCTCGTATATTATCATCGACTTAAATCGCATTAGTCAATAACGAAGTCAAATAAGTCAAATAACGAGAATAGACTCATGAATATTTATATTTTTTGCATATGAAGTGAATGGAATAAAAAGAAGAGAAACGACGCAGAGTGGAGGTGGCTGGTAAGTCACTAACTCCCATTTAGCCAACCATTCATCAATAGTTATAGTTACACAAAAGTAAGTTACACACATGTGATGATGAGTAATGGGATAAGAAATGTACACAGACCTACACGCTCATATAAAAACAGTCAAGATTGATAAACGAATAGTTAACAAGGTCAAAATGTGACTCAATTAGAATGAATAGAATAGGCTGTCCGAAAGCTAGAATAAGGTATATGAACTTAACATAATAACCGACAGTACAAGAAACTAGATTTCAAACTGTCAAGATTAATTTCTATGAGATATATTCATGATACTTTTCTTTTTTTTTTTGTAATTTTATGACTTTTAACTTTCCTTCACAAAGTAAAACTTTTCTCATATCAAATGTCAAATGATAATTTATTGAATTACAACTTTTATAATAAATCCCATTATTTAACCATATTTAATTATCTTCAAAATAACCGATCAGTTATACAGATATTATGTCATTAGTGTTAATTGAATAATGTTTAGTACCGTATGATATGCAATACCTAAATTGGAAAGATAAAACAACTGACAAAAATGGACACTCCTTAATATATAGATGAATAGTATTCTGTAAATATTGCCATACTTCTTGATTATTTCTGAGTTTTTTTTACAAATAAGCTGTTAGCAACTATTATTATCACAAGAAACTCATTATCATTTCTTATCAACTGTGTTAATGGAAAGCTGAGAACAGTCAAAAAGAGATAAGTCTATTTCCTAGACTCAGTCTTTTTAAAATAACAAAACTATAATTTATTAAGATATTTGAATAAGTCCATCAAAGTCTGCCACTGTTTTATCTACCAAGTTATTCATGCTTTTCTTTACTTAACAAATACTTAAAAGTTCAAATGTTAATCTGTTATTTAGCTTACTGGCCGATATAAAGACTTTAGAGACTATTTGTAGAGAAGATAGACTGTTTCTTAAAATATTTCTCTCATCGTTTCAGTCGTTAGTTTAAGGATGAATCAATTTTCTGCTTTTCACATGAAAGGTACGTTAATAGTTGACTTTAACTCTGGTTCCATCAAGTATTGTAAAAAGTTATCTAGTTTTATTTATCACTGTTTCAATCTTTTTGACTTTTCTTCAATCTCTATTTTGTGTGGAGTTTGACGGTCAACATCTATTTATTTATTAAAAACTCACAAAAGTGATTGAAATTTTCTACTTCTCCTCAACTATCGCGATATTTCAACTCGTTAGGACATCTAACAGATTATTATTGACTGAAATCTCATCTAAATTATCTATTTTACTTTGTTATCATTGTTATATCTACATCTCCCAGACTATCATGAGTTGTTAACGGGTCTCTAGATATTATGAAGAAGTATCGTTTTGCCATACATAACTAAATCTTGCTATCCAGTCTAAGTTTTCCAGAGATGAACTCTTCGATAAGTAGTTTGAAGTGGATTTTTAGAGGATCATTGTATAAAATTTTGTAAACATTATTCACTGACATTGGTTTCCGATTATGGCAAACATGGAGCTTCATAGAAGGGTTAGTTATAAAACGAATAATGAGAATAGCAGTTAATAAGAGGTGTGTGGAAAGTTGACAATTGTTAACTACTTATGAAGTAATGAAACAAATATAAAAATTCACGTCTAATTTTATCAATTACAGTTAATATTCTCTACTTTATACAAAATATATGATCAGCATGTAACAAGAAGCAGCAGCAGCACCAAGAAAATGACTTTTGGATTTTTGTCACATTGACTATCGGAATTCAGTAAGTTGGTGAATAGTGTTTTCGTGTCTAAAGTGATATGTACTAATTCCAAGCTGCGAAGTGAACTTCAACGTTGGGATTAAGATATATCCATCCGAAAAGTCCCAAATAGGACTAATCTAACGTCCTGAGTTTCGCTGTTAGCTGCTATCTAACTTTTTAAAAAGCTTGTGACTAAATGATAATATCACAATAAATTGCTCAGGCTGACTATATATGCTAATAGGAAATGAACACTAAATCCTTAACATCAATAATGGAAAAATACAAACACTTACAAATAACATTCTATAGTTTATGAAGGTAATCTATGAAATATCAATAACTTTAAAAATGGCTTGTCCCGAGTATTCTATGATTAAAAAATAGTACTTATGTAAAATCATTGAAAAATATCATAGATCTAAATCAATTTGAAATGCATTGGATTGTTCCGTTGCTGATATTTTTGGACTGAAATTTGATCAGTATTGGTTGGATTATAGGCATAACATGTGGACTGCTTTGATATAGTGAAGTAATTTAATACATAATAGATGGAATGTAGCTTGAAATGGGATGCGATACGTGTGTTTCGTCCAGTTTTAAACCCGTCAGCTTGCTTTTCATGCACTTGTCATAAAAGTAGGCAGCTAGTTTAACACGCTAACTAAGTGAATAACGTGATGGCGCTTAAAGAGAACTGTTTCGGGTTAGAGTCCTGGAGTGAAAGTCTACTTTGTTATGACGGAACATGTAATTAAGTAGTCCCAGATAGGACAAAACACATTCCATTTATCCTATCATAGACCTAAGTTTCAACCTCATCATTCAACTCTATTCACATTTAGTTGGTGATTTCAAATAAATTCGAGTAGAAGTTCAAGTAGAAAAATTCCTACTGGTCTTATTTTTCCGTTGATTGCCCCTGAAGTTATCTCATTTATCTAGTCATAATAAACATTGAACCTGTCATAAAAGTATTTTTAACCAAACTTGCCATATCTCTATAATACAACTAATATGCTACAAAAGTTATCGAGAGTGACATTAGGAAACATTGAATGCTGACGATACACTACAACAAAACAAAATAAACGTTATGTACGAAATAATATTGGAATTCAAGATCAGAAAAATGACAGAGAGCGAGCACATTTCTTTCAATATACCATGTCACTCAAAGGCTTTAACAACAAATTATGGTTACAGCACAAACTTCAACCAAATAGTTTGTATCTACTAGTATAGCTTAGACCAGTATTCAATGTCTTAAAACATTTCAAAACATTTTCAACTTTCATTAACTTTTCTAAGATTCAATACAGGAGCTTTACAAAAAAGAACTGACCTAAACTACTGAATTTACCTATGCTAACAACAAGAATAAACAGAATTTGTAACCATTTATATCATATATATTTCTTAGTCTTTATTGTAAAACAATCTATGAACAAATGAAATTAGTTAAATCATTAATAATCATTGCCCAACATTAATATCTAGCTAATAATTACATATTATATATATATGATAACCCCGCCAGGAGTCCCTCCGGGGGCTACTGCCGGTCCCAAGCCCGGATAAAGGAGGAGGGTTGGGCATGGGGTTAGCGACCCCATCCCGTAGAAAACTAACTCACTAAAAAAACGCTAACCACAAAAAACTATTCAAACCTTTTAAACTCTGCCCTGGGAGTCAGAAGGTCTTCATTTAGAAGAACTATGACGCCTCATGTTGAAAGCCGAATTCCTTCGGAAGTTACGAGGTCGATGCTCCTTCTGACAATCAAAGCAATTATTTATTTAGGTACATGGAATACTCGTACAATGTGGGAGACCGGGAGAGTCTTCCAAATTGCTGCATATATGTATAATGTTTTCATATATTACACCATACTTTCTCGAGCACTGCACATTTTATTGATTATTATTTTTTTTCTTATAGACGTCATTCCATAAAATGTTTACCGCTGTAAAATTACAAAGTACATATTAAAATACTCTTTTTTTTAAAAGTAACTCAATCAATATGTTTGCAAGAAGTCACGTTTATGAGTTACAATTCAGTTGAGTTTTATTTCATTATAAAACTATAAAAATTGTGTTAATGATTTCACATCACTCAAGTTGTTATCATTTACAATGTTGATAGTTTGTAGTGATAATAGTAGTAGTAGTAGTATGTTGCCAAAAAAATATTATTTAAGATTTTTAAAACAAGTAAATAGTACTAACTATAAGTAAATTAATAATAAATTGCTCATTTATTGATCCTTTACTCAGTATTGTCATATTCTCAATCGAAACATTTCCCTTCATTTTAAAACTGAAATTTGATTTTTTCTTAGGAGTGTAGATAAACTCCACTGACCTTGCACCTGGCAACTAACCAAAATGAAGGGGGACTTATTATTTATACAGTTATATTTTATGATAGAGAAGATGTTTCATTCTCTGTCATTTGTGCTGGCTTATATGAACAATGTAAAGTTGTCTACGAAAAAACTACCACTCCATCATGCTATGAAACTTGTCAAGTGTGGAACATTCAAGTTAGGATGGAAGAAAAATTACAATATAGCAAACGTCATACTTTTAATTAATTCTATAATGATAATTATTATTCCAAAATATTTATAATTAGCTGACTAAATAGATGAAAACACAACTGTAATTACTAATTACGATACACTTAGATGACTTGAGAATGTGGAGTTTATCCCAAACTGATTTTTATTTATGAAATAAAAGATGTTTCAAATGAATATTACACTCTAGTGAAACTGTTCATCCAATCACCGTTAAGAAAACAAACAAAAAATGTCAATAAAGGTGAAACTTTGTAATGTTCAATATGATCCTATATTTACCTAATTTTCCCTTCATTGTATATTGTGATTAAAATAACAATAAATTAAATGGAGAAAAAAAATTTTTTTTTAAATTTTACTTACTCTATACTACTAGAAGGTGAGCTTAAATCCCCAATTGTTGTTAAAGTTAATGTAGCCCAATAAAATGATTTTAAATATCTTCTTGACATTGTTACTTGTTCTGCATCAGTATATGGTTGATAACCCCATGGATTTTTAAATCCTTCATATTTTGATATTAAATAATAAAATGCAGCAAACCAATGACAACCTAAGAATAATATATGAATTAAATTTAATACTCTCCATAAATTAGGAAATATAGTTCTATTTTCTACACGTATTTTCCATTCATGACAACGATACCATTTGAAAAATCTTGGAAAACGTAACATTGGTTGTATCCCAATTTTAAATTGTATTAAATCTAATGGAAATAATGATAATAAATCGAATAGAAATTTATAAGATTTCATATAACGCATAATTAATTTTTGATGATCCCGTACTTTTAATCCACATTTTAAATAACTTGTATTACATTGTACAAATATATCAATTAAATATATAAGATCAGCTAGAATATCAAATGATAACCAAATGATTTGATATTTGGATTGTAATTCATCAAATGCTTGACGTGCTATTGGAGTCCATAAATTATATAATAATGCTATAGATACAATTGTTAACCATATTATATAACCAGTATTATTTGGATAAAATACAATGAATAAATGAGAGTTTTTATAATTTTTTAAAATTTTTTTATTTTTTCCTGATTCTTTATCTAATTCAAAATATTTATCATTTTTATTTATTTCATTACTTAATTTCTTTTTAAAGGAATAATCATTAGTATTACTATTATCATTATTATTATTATAAGTAGTAGTAGTAGTAGTAGTATTAGTAGTATTATTATTATTATTGTTTGTTGGAGTTGGTGTATCTAAGTAGAACATTTCATCTTTTGGTATTGAATTTAATTGATTTTCCAATAATAATTCTTTTTCTGGAATAATTGTTGTTGTCAAGCTTTCTGAATTATTATTATTATTATTATTAGCATTATTGTTAGTTATTTGTTCACTTGAATCAACTTGATGACATGATGATTTTCTTTCATTATTAACATTATTATCATTATCATTATTATCAATTTCTGGAATACAATCATAATGATCTAATTTTTGTTGTGAATATAATTGATCCATAAATGAATGATCATAATTTGTATCAGAATAATATTCGTCATTACTATAAGTTCCACGTCTTTGTGTAGAGAAACGATACATAAATGAATCTCTTCTAGATGTATCATTATTATTATATAATTTACGTTTAAATTTTACATGATCCATTGAACTTAATACAACTTTCATGGTACATTGTAATTTTTTCCAATGACGTGATGCATTATTATTATTTAATGAAGACTTATGTGATTCATTTTGTGTATTATCATAGAATTTATTTAATTTTGTAATAGATGATTTAGTCATTTTATCTAATTTAGATAATGATATATCATCATTTGAATGAATATTAAGGAATTGTTTCGATGATAATTGGCATTGATCTAATATATTTTCATGTATTTGATTCATTTGAGATGATGATAAAGTTTTATTATCATATGTATTATTATAATCCAATGAAATAGTTTCATTGTCCGATATTGATTTTTGTGATAAATGATCATGTGAATAATCAATATTTAATAATGAATTTGGTTTAGATAATTGATTATTTTCACTTGTCATTATTGATTATATCATTTATTGATTTATTAAAAAATAAATATTTATTTTTTTCTATATTTTCAAATGATTTAATGAATGAATGAATTGTGTTTAGAAGAAGAAAAAACAAAAGAAAGAGAAGTTTATTTCATACATTTTGACAGCTGATAATATTGAATTGTTACCATAACAATTTCTTCATTCATGATTGGTTGATAAATTCATGAGATGTGATTGGTCAATTTTGTTTTTCTAAATTGTAAGCAAGATATGATATGATAATGATTTTATATGTAAAATGGATAAATCTCATTTTTTAAAAACAAAAAAAATATATTTAAGTCAAATGAATGAATCAAAAAAAGATTATGTAAATGTTTATTACACAGATTGAAATCATGAGTCAATTGAAGCTAGACCACCATGAAAAACCTGGAAGCACTGGATGGCCGTTTCGTTCTAGTATGGGACTCCTAAGCAGTGCGCATCCATTCGTGGATTGGTTGGAGTTAGACATTAACACCATTGGATGACAGCTCAGTGGTCTAGTTGGTTGAGCGCTTGATGCGAGACTGATAGGTCCTAAGTTCGAATCTCGCGGGGTGCTGAACCGTGTATGCGCACTGCTGAGGAGTCCCATACTAGGGCGAAACGGCCTTCCAGTGCTTCCAGGTTTTCCCTAGTGGTCTAGCTTCACTCGACTCATGATTTCAACCTGTGAAATTTCTAAGATCTCCACAAACCCCTTCTGATAAATGTTTATCATAAAGTTGTAGGAAAATGTTCTTTTCACTTGAAATGATCATGAAGTTCAGTGAATTCAAAGACTCATCGAAGTTAAACAACCATAGAAAAATAGAAAACATTAGATGACCATTTTATTTTGTGATAAAACTCTTCAGCAATAAGCAGCTATCACTTTAATTGTGAGAATCAAACCTGAGATTTATGATCTGGTTTCGAATGCTTAATTTCTAAACCATTGAATGAGGATTTAGAGGTTAAATATTCAAGAACGGGAGAAAAAATCATAAATTTGATTTTTGTGTATGGAGTCATGAATGTGCATTTCTGAGTCTCATATTAAGATGATGTGGTTCTCTAGTGCTTCAAGTTTTTCATGAATTGTCTTAATTTGATCGTAATTCGAAATTTAACAACCATTATAGTGCTAGACTGATTATAATTAAATCACCCCAAAAATATCCAGTCACATTACCAGCGTAGGATATGATGACATTTTACGTACAACTATAAGTCAAGGTGGTTTCACTTTTAACTCCTGAGCAATACGTTTTATTCACTGATATAAATGTTTCAGTTTTCTGACTAGAAATGTTTGGTAACCACGTTTACTTATTCGCTTTAATAAATTATTTACAATCTACCGTAAATTTAATCACTTGAAACTTCCAAAAATATCAAATATAATGGATATCAGGTTTTCTTTTCCTCAGTATTTTTTTGGCAAAACAAAAGGAGTGTAATATATCGAATTCATAAATCAAGTATATTATGCATTGAAGAGAGATGTAATAAAAACAAAACTGATCATGTTCATTTACTAATAAATGTGAAAGGTAGCTAATTACTGTTTAAAAAACTGTTACGGATAGGTTTTTTTCTGTATTCACAGTTTAAATAGCTGTGAAATGAGAATATGTCAAAATACCGAGTATACTGTAATGTAAATTATTAACATTAAACATGTGTTGATGAATGAAGTGATTATGATCATGATTGTCCCCATTAATTTTCAAGCCAAAGTTTACAGATTTTACTCAATATAATCTAAATAAAAATTCCTCAATGTATATTTCATTTCATTTTTTTGTTGATAACATCAGATGAACCGATTGAACTAACAAGATTGATGAAACATGGTCGAAATGTGGTTATTTTCGGAAACACAGGATTTAGAAATAAAAACGTTCATTTAAGGAATAAAATGAAATGATTATATGTAATTTTTACTTACTGACAAAAATTCAGCACGCAATAAAATCGAAGAAGCACTAGATAGGTACTTCGTCCTAGTATGTGACTCATCATCATTGTTCATCCACGATCCCACCTTAAAATCACTCAGAAGTCGCTAAAATTTCAGGCCATCAGGTTGGTATTCAATTTTCTAGCTTTAGTCAATTTGGAGCATTTCTGAAACATGATCCTCTGCAATCCATTCGAATGCTAATGAGGTCGTGGATACTTTCTGTCGAGGTGTATCAGAATGAAATAACTGTCCAATCCTCCAGTTCTTAAAATAATTCTCTAACTAAGTTTAGCCCACGATATAAACCATAAAATCCAGTAATCCGAACAATCTTCAATACAAATAATCATGTATATTCATTTTTATTAAATACCCTCCAGCCTGTGACTAACTGACACCAAGCACATTCGATAACCCACAAATATATAATTTCATAGAGAAACAAAAAAAGATTGAACCTAAGTAATTTTCACAACCACTCTAAGGAGGGAAGCAGTGAAACTGAAGACAACAAAACGTCAGAAATTATATGCGTAGGGGGTTAAAAGATAGGATGTCGAAAGTGCTTTATTTCAGTCTGGAAACGGTCGTTATTTACCTGTAATATTTGAGATAATGACATGACTTAAAATTTTTCTGAAAATATTCTTTGCTTCAAGATTGCAGGTGTGATGTGTGCTGCTTACGTCGACATAAATAGTATATAACGTCAATCAGAAATGGAATAGCTGACAACAGAAGCTTGAGAAGATCGAATAGAAGAGAACGGGAACAGAGAGTAATTGGTGTGGAAATAAAGAAACAATAAAGTCTGAGACAATTAATGGACATTTTGCAAATGAAGGATTAGACATATGATTTTGACATTTTATTAAATAACTCTGTAATCTTTTTCTACATTTAAATAAATTAGTTGTCTCCACCTGTGTCTTTGTTAATTACACAAATACATCTTACATGACAAGTATAAAATAACATAAAACCAAAGTTCATAACTTTCCATAACCATCAAATAGCACATGAGAGATTATATACGACATACGATATTGAGAGAAGCCAATTATACTCCTAATCGAGATCTCAGCCTGCATGTCCTTGTTTGAGTCAGAAAGACAAACCTATATCACACCAATGATTTATATGTTTATTATTTCAGTGGTCAGTCAAAGTTTCCCTGCCATCATCAGCTTTCTGGTTCGTTTAACTGGTTGAAGATTTGGGAGGAGGAGCAAGTGCCGAAGGACTGGAAAAAAGGACACCTCGTCAAGATACCAAAGAAAGGAGATTTGAAAAAAATGTGGTAACTAAAGAGGCATTACTACAGAGGAGTTCCTGAGAAGATTGTTAACATTATCCGAAACTCATAGGAAGGACTACAGTGAAAAGTAGTGCATGGAGGGCAGCTGACAGATGCATTTCAAGTGAGGATCAAAGTCAGACAAGGCTATTTACTCTCCTCCTTTCTCTTTCTTCTGGATTATGAAGACCTCCACATCTGAGATGAAGCACGGAATACAATGGACAGGTTGGATGCATCTGGACTACTTGGATTTCTCAGATGACATATCCCTTCTATTCCATACGCACGAACAAATGCAAATGAAGACAACTAGTGTAGCAACAGCCTCTGCATCAGTAGGCCTCAATAGACACAAGGGAAAAAGCAAAATCCACAAATACAGCACGGAAAACATCAACCCAGTCACACTTGCTGGAGAAGCTCTGGAAGACGTGGAATCCTTCACGTACCTGCGGAGCATCGTCGATGAATAAGGAGGATCAGATGAAAACGTAAAAGCGAGGATTAGTAAAGCAAGAGCAGCACTCCTACAGTTAAAGAACATATGTAACTCAAAACAACTTTCAACCAATATCAAAGTCACAATCTTCAATACGAACGTCAAGTCAGTTCTACTGTACGGAGATGAAACTTGGAGAACTACTACAACCATCATCAAGAAGGTACAAGTAATTATAAATTGTTGTCTGCGCAAGATACTCAACATCCATTGACCGGATACCATCAGCAGCAGCCTACTATTGTAGAGAACAAACCAGCTTACAGATGAAGAGGGACTTAGGAAAAGACGATGCTAATGGAAAGGACATACATTGCGCAAATCATCAAACTGGATCACGAGGCAAGCCCTAACCTGAAAACTTGAAGGGAAGCGGAAAAGAGGAAGGCCGAAGAACAAACTGTGTCAGGAATTGGAAGTAGGTATGAAAAGTATGAATAACAACTAGAAAGAGCTGGAAAGGATTGCTTGGGACAGGGTTGTATGGAGAGTGCTGATGAGCGGCCTATGCTCCTCCACGAGGAGTAACAGGCGCAATTAAGTAAGTAAGTAGAATGTATATCTTAATAAAACTTCATAGAATCCAAGGCTATTCAACCATAAAATCATTGGAACATCATTAAAAAGTTTTAGTACACTTAATTGACCCATAATCTGAACGAAAGAGGTATGGTTTACAAGAGACAGTTTACAACATAACGTCTGGAGAACGGAACACCGTCATCGATCACAATGAATTATCATATTGTAGGTTTGTCAACAATAATCAGCATAACACTGATTATTTTACAATGATAATTAATGTATATAATGTATCTCTTGAATATTTATGCACAACTTTGTTAACCTCAATGATGCGATTAATATCCTTAATAGAATAATATTCTGACTAGATAAGAAAATTAATCTTTTGATGCTGTAAATAGTTTCACACCAAATAAAATTTTGAAATTAATTCAACGGTGAGACTGATTTATGGACGACCTTTAAGCGACTGTAAACTGACCTTGAGAGTGTCCACTTACTAATGCTAAATGAAGGATTTAAAGCAGTTTGAAGAATGAGGACTACAATTTACAGTTGATGGTCATGGTTAGAAATTAGATTTTGGATTTTCATCACAAACTGACATCAGCTATAATGCCAAGACTCTGTTTAACCAAATATGTGAATGAATTTCGCGCCGAAATCCAAAACCTGTTATCGTAAATCTGATTGGTTCGTCCATAGATTATAGTCTCACCAATTCAACCGTTGACCAACTGGATCATGAAGACGTCAACATCTGAAGGAAAACACGGGATACAGTGAATATCTATGAT